TGCACTTCTGGCATCTGCTTGGACTTGCAAGACAAGGGGCTCTTTTCTCCCCGGAGACAAAGCCACTGGACTTCAAGTGCTGGCCTCTTGGAGCACCTGAAGACTGTCCCCCCGCCTCGTCCCTGTGGTCCCTGGACTGGGTGCCAGAGAGGTCCTCATGTCAGAGTGATGAGGTCACGGCCACCAAGCCAGAACTCAAGTGGCCTCACAGGGCAGCACGCTGGCCCGGCAGCAACATGGCCCCAGCGGCCACCTTAACTTTGCTTTAACTGCGGCTCCTGTGCGTGCTTTGGGCACATTGTGGGGGCTCTCTGAGCCTCTTTTCTCCGATTGGACGTGAAGGTGGAGGATGGTCATCCATGGTACAGGGCTGCCCACATAGTGGGTGAGGACAAGCCTGTCCCCACCCGCTGGAGGAGAGGAGCCACTGAGCGTGTGAATGAGAGCAGTCTGACCTTGCTGCTTCCAACACAGCGAGAGCTCGTGGTGTGGGCGCGATTCTGGAATGGGACCGTCCTGTCTCAAGCCCGACCCCACTATGCAGCAGCTGAGTAGACTGAGCAGGTTACGACCCCTCTGAGCCTCCACGCCCTGTAAAGTGGAGACGGGGACATGCCCACCTGGAGGGGCAGAGAAGGGGTTGACCCACAAAGAGCTGTGACCTAGTAGCCCTCAGGAGTCTTGGCCAGGCTTTCTCTGGTCACCTCTTCGCAGGGCAGGAATCTGGATGGTGGTAAGGGCTGCCATGGACTGGCGCATAGTGAGCGCCTGTTTGCAGGGGTCTCTCACCCTGTCTCTGACGATGGGGAAGTTGTTCTGAGGCTGGTATCCTTCAGCCTTTCAACGGGAAACAGACAAGGACCCTTGTGGGCTGAGGTGGAGACGGCACCAGCAGAGCAGTGGTGGGAAGTCAGAGGGAGGGAAGGGGACCCCAGATTAATCACTCTCCTGATGCAGAAACCGAGGTCCAGAGGGGACGAGACTGATCTAAGAGTGTGGGAAGTTATGGGCGATGTGGGATTAGAATTGGAGCATGCTGACCCTCACCTTCAGTCCTCCACTGTACTCAGTAAGGACCACCAGTGCTGTCACCACCACCACCATCATCATCACCACCATCACTATCACCATCATCACCATCATAACCATGACCATCACCATCACCACCGTCACCACCATCACCACCACCACCGTCACCACCATCATCATCACCACCATCACCACCATCACTATCACCATCATCACCACTATCACCATCAGTGTCACCACCAACACCCTCCTCATCACCATCACCACCATCACCACCATCAGCAGCAGCAGCAACATAAGAAACAGTTGTTGCGACTCTGTCCTTACAAGAACCCAGTGATGCAGGGGTGTTTATTATTTCCATTTCATGAGGCTCAGAGACGTAAGTGGCAGCTGAATCCGCGCTTGTCCAACTTGACAAGTGGGAGCGCCCTTCACCTCTCAGGGAGGCAGTCAGCGTGTCCTCTGTGTCGTGGCCATGGGACACATGAGGGTAGGGGCATCCTTGGGGCTCATTCCTGTCTGGGTGTCGAGCTTGGGCGGCCCCCTTCTGAGCTTGATCTTCCCTCCTGGGAGGGTGTGGCTCCATCTGTGTTTCTGGATGTTGAGGGAGACTCAGGAGGCCAGCGGGGAGGTTACAGTCCCTGACACGCTCCGTGCCCAACAGCTAGAGACTGGAGAGGTCAGCTGTGCCATCCCGGAGCCAACAGACAACTGTGGAAAAACCGTTGGTTTGGCCCGTGGAAGCTGCTACTATGACCTGGGCACTGGAGACATTCCTCCCCCACTTCGTTGCGGTTGCATTTTTGTCGTGGTTTTCTGGGGACAGTCAGGCAGTGCCACGTGCTTCTCGTCCAGTCTTTCCCCAGAGCCCTTTTCCATTTCTCTCTTCCTTCGGCTGCTCTCCCTCCCCTCCTGCAGGGCAGGCGGGACCACCACGTTTCCTGCCTCTGTGAGCTGTGGGCTGGCACGGTGGGGGCTCCTGCTGGGGTCCCCCGTTTTCCCACGTGAGAAAGCCACCTTAAACAGGCTCTTGTTAGAGGAGACACGAGCAGATTTCTAAGCAGCTGACTCTGCCTTTGGAGTGTGGACCCACAGCACCGAGTTTGTATCTGATGGTGGGCGGTGTCGAGAGGCAGGGGCCTGTGCGGGGTGGAGGGGGCATGGGCCCTGGAGACAGAGAGGGCCAGGTTGGGTCCCTGCTTCACCACGTGGAGGTGCAGCTGTGGACACGCTCCTCAAAGGCACTCACTTCTCAGTTTATCTCCCTGGGGGGTTGTGAGAACTGACCTGGATAACGGGCACATGGCACCCGGCTGGCCGTGCAGGATGCTGGTAGATACCAGAAACATTCCTATTGCCATTCTGCTCTCCGGGTGATGCTGTTGATGAGAGAGGAGGGCAGATGCTTTGAACAGCATCCCTCAGGGAAGTGAGGTTTGGGTGAGACTGCAGGCATCTTGGGGGCCCTTCTGTGTGTCAGGGGTCGTCTTCTCGCGTCTTTTCTTTTTTCCCGACTTTTCCTTCTTACACATGTTGCTTGGTGCCCGAGACCCTGGCTGCAGAGACCCAGGAGCCCCGGCTGCTGCAGATGGAGGCAGCACTCAGCCTGCGTGGGGGAGAGGAAGGGAGGGCGCAGGGAAGGAGCCGTGGGAATATCCAGGCCATCCTGCTCGTTGGCTAAGTGGGATAAATGACCCTCCTTCGCCTCTGCCAGCGGTCATCTGTGGCAGTGGGGAGGGCGGCCAGCGGGGGTGCTGTGGTGCCAACCTGGCTGTAAGCCTCTGAAGAGCTTACACTGTTCTCCGTTAGGGTTAGATGTGGCTGGGTATATTAGTTAGCTGTTGCTGAGTAACAAATTTCTCCAAACTCAGTGGCTTGTGGCAACAATAGCACACTTGTTAAACAGTTTCTGTGGGTCATGAAAGGAGCAGGCTAGCTGGTGGCTCTGACATGGAGACGCTCCTGGGTCATGTCATCTGCAGGTTTGACGAGGCCGGAGGGTCCTTTCTTTGAGGGCTCACTCACATAGTGCAGGTCATCCCAGGGCTCCGTTGCCCGTGTGCAGGCCTCCCCGTGGCTGAGCAGTCTGAGAGGGAGCAAGGCAGAAGCCACAATGTCCTTCACATCTAGCTTTGGCAGTCTCAAACTGTCCTTCCTCAGCGTCCTCTTGGTTCTACCAGTCAGCCCTATTCCATGTGGGACCAGACCGCACAGAATGTGAATACTAGGAGATGGGGGTACCGGGGCCGTCATGGAGGCTGGCTGCCACACTGGGTGTAACAGAAACACTCAAAACAACAGTGGCTTAAGCCATGTGGTTCTTCCTCATGTTCAAGAACCATGGAAGTAGTCCATCTGGGGTGGGCAGGTTGTTTCATGGGGTCGGAAAACCACCTTTTGTTCACAAGGGCCCAGGATGGCTGCTAGAGCTCCAGCCATGATCTCCACATCCCAGCTAGCAGGAAGGAAGGAGAGAAGGGCACACCTTTTCTCTTTAAGAGAGTGTTCAGAGATTGCACACACCACTTCCGTCTGTGTCCCATTGGTCAGCACGTGGTCAGGAGGCCTGCAGGTGCCTGGTAACACCTGTGTCCATCATGGTTTTCTCTCTTGGATGTTGTAGGAATTAGAAAGTAGCACATCAGGAAGGTAGAGATGCTGGGGCAGCTTTGGGGCTGCAGAGCCCAGTCTGGGTTTCATTCTACTCCTGTGATTCATATCTAGGGCAGTCACTCAGGCCCTCTGAGCCTCAGTTTCCTTCTCTGTGGATAGTACACTTGCCTCCAGGGCTAGAACAAGGCTGACACGAGTCAGAGCATCTAGGAGACCCAACGCTTTGACCTGAGGGTGTTTTCATCGTTGTGTTCCCTCCTCCCCTCCTCTCTGCACACCAGGTGACTGGCCTAGGACCACAGAGGGACTTTGTTCCCGTAGATCTTGTCTCTCGATCCTGTTCACACCCAGGTGAACCTGTGGTTCCATTGATTGATGAGGCCTTTTGAATTGAACAAAACCAGGCTTGCCGCTCTCCCGGCTGCCCATACGTCTCTGTTCTCTGAACATGCACTACTTAATAGCGTTGTTGGCGGGCCTGCACGTGCAGTCGTGGAGTCCATACACTGTGCAAAGGCACCAGGCAGAGGGGTGAGGGGGGCCGAAGCCCAGACTGCTTCCCACCTGCCAGGCTGGTGCTGGTGCCGGGAGGCCGGGCCTCATTCTCATTCGTGGGGGGGTCCCCTGCTCGCTGGGACATGCCCTTAAAGAAGGAGTGCCTTCACCTGATCTACATTTCTGAGTCTAATTTCCAGAATTAATTCTAATTTCTGATTCACTTAAAGGCTGACAGGGCCTGTTCTCTGGTTTTGTTATTCAGCAGGCTTTTGATTGGGGAAAAAGTCATTGATTGGCCCTTTTCACTGGGCACCAGCTCCAGGCATGTCCCATCCGGGGACTTAAGTGGGTGTCAGCTGCTGTCTCTTCCACATCACACACGTGGTTCTGCTGTTGGCCTCAGTGTCTCTCCAGATGAGTGTGTATGTGTGTGTGTGTGTGTGTGTGTGTGTAGGGAGCGTGTGGGGTGCACGGTGAACCTGGCTGCAGAAGCGCCTGCCCTCACCATCCCTCCTCGTGGACACCCCTCCCTTCAGCACATGGAGACCCCAGTGCAGGACTCTGATTGGTTCGGTGCCCATCTGTGGACCAATCCCTGGTCCCAGCTGGATGAGGTACACTGTTGCTGGCCAGGGGAGTGGGAAGGGTGGTGGAGACCCCGGGAGCAGGGAGGAGGTGCTGGGTGTTGGAAGCGGTGGCCGCTCTCTCAGACCCTGGAAGCCTGAGGGGCTTCCAGGTCATGGAATGCTCAAAAGGTCTCCTCTTATGAGTTCAGAGCGTTTGGTGAAATTTGGAAATGTCGAAAGGATTCAGGCACGAAGACCCACGTTCTCTGTGTTTTCCTTTCTCCCGAACAGGGCAGCACGCTGAGGAAGCGCAAGATGTACGAGGAGTTCCTCAGCAAGGTCTCCATCCTGGGTCAGTGGCTCCCCACCCCCTTCTGCTGTCTGTCCTGGTGTGGCCCCCTCCGGCTTGTCTGAGTCCCTGCTGGCAGCCCCAGCCATTCCAGGTTCCCTGCATGTCTGGCAGGTCCAGTGTTCTTGGTGTTATGCAAGATTAGGACACACACAATTTTGCACCCACATGTGCACGCTCACATACATGCAACACAAGTACATGCACACATGTACATGTGCGACTATACACACACAAGTATGTGTACCTGCACACATTTACACATGCACACAACACACACAAGTATATGTGTGTGCATGTGTGCGCACATGCATGCACACACGTACACATGCACTCACGTGCAATGCAAACATGTAGGCGTGCATACACACCTGTGCATGCATGCAAACACACACACACTGTGGTTTGTCAGTGAAACCAAGAACTCTCTTGGCTCCTGGGGCACCAGGTATCCTTTGGTCAAGTGGCTCTCCATCCATCGCTTTGCTTGGCCGGCTCTCCCTCTGCCATCAGTGTCGTTACCTCCAGCCCTTCCTCCTCATCAGTCAATTTTGAGCTGAAAGTCCATGTTGCGTTGTAGTCGATGTGGCCGGCTGTATTGGGCTTCTCTCCGTGGCCTGTTTTGGTTTTTCCTAAGCGTGGTCTCTCCTGGTGCCGTCCTGCCCTTCCTCGTCCTGGGGTAGATAAACACATTGGCTGCATTTGTACTGATTCTCACAAGTGTCAACAAAGTTCTCTCTAAGAAGAGTTTTTAGAAATTTGAAGTTCCTTTAACGTATATGCTGATTACGTATTGTTCCCGACCAGCCTTGTGCGGGAGAACTTTCGGCTGCGAATGGAGATATTCCTATCTGTGTTGAGCATTTGAAATGTGGCTCGTTGGACCAAGGAACTGAGTTTTAATTTTATTTCATTTTAATCAATTTAAATATGAATAGATGCACGTGGCCAGCAGTTTCCATTTTGGACAGGGCAGCCGTAGACCACGGAAGGGGGACCTACTTGGGAAAGTGAGTGACAACTGAGAGTTGAGGCTCCAAGAGCCACTGGAAATAGCCATCCAGCAGGATTTCTTGCAGGAATGTTCACAGATTTAAAAACCCCAGGCCAGACTTCTGGGTCAAGATGGTGAGTAAGGAAAGATCCTCCTTTTCTAAGAACCTAATAGAGTGAGAAAGAAACGAGAAAGCAACAGACGAAAATCATTGGGTGTGGGGGTGTCGACACCGGGGCTGATGCTCATGGAGAAGGCTCAGGATGCGGCAGCCATCCAGATCCCAAGCCTGCTCCCGTGGAAGAGCCCCGCGCCTGTGTGGGGGAGCCCATCTGGACACGTGGCTGCATCTCAGCACCGGAGCAGCCCCAGGGTCCAGCTCCCCCGTCCTCGAAGTCCAGGTTATAGAGGTTATAGAGACTCTGCCCTTCAAACTGAAGATCAGAGAGGAGGCCAAGAGGAAACTTCCGCCCGAATCGCCATGTCAAGCTTGAACCAGCTGGAAAGAGATGGCCTGGCCGCGGAGCAGACCAGCCACAGGTGCAGGACCTGCAGAGAAGGACTCAGAGCAACACAGCAGAGAACCCACTCGGGAGGGAACCACATCCAAAGAAGCAAAACAAATTCCAGTGTAGAACTTTTGAGAACACACATTCAATAAAGCAAGAGAACAGAGGCCCGAAGAGAAAATGACAGTGATGTTAAAAGAGAGACGAAAGAGCTAAGGAGACAGATCAAGGACCAAAATAAGACTAGTTAGGGATCTTAGGAACAGAATAGACATAGGATGCTACAAATTCTAGATCTTTACTTTTGAGCAAGTTTCTCATGAGGGCATAAGCAGACATGGACGTGGATGTTCATTTCAGCAATTTTTACAATAACGAGAAAGTAGAAACAACCTAACGTCTGTCATTAAGGAGTAAATGCCCTGTGTTGTATGATGGGGTTTTTTATATGGCCAATAAAACGGACACACTAGATTCCATGTATCAACACAGACCTAAAAAACCCAAAACAGAGCACATAGGTGTGTAGATGGCATGTATGTGCAAAATTTTGGGAAAGCTATTGAAAAGACATTCACCTACAATTCAGTTTCACTTCAAGTTTCTTTTTCTTCTGTTAAATTTGAGTAAAATAAAACTTAAGACTTTCTGTTGAAAAGGACATGTCTAGTATCCTGTCATTATATAAGTGTTTCTGCTTCTCCTTCTGTCATCCTTCTGTTTGGGTCTGTGATCAGAGAGGTGACCAGAATGGAGTTGATAGGTCAACTATGGTTATTTCTGGGGGGTATTTTAGCAATTTTTTCCCCACGTTCTTTATACTTCGCCCTATTTCTTGAGTTAATTGTAGTGAGTATGAGCAATTTTACCAAAAACAATAAAGTAGGTATTAAGACAAAATTAATGAAAGAACAGAATCACCCTCCACCCAAAACAGACCCCAGACACCTTCAGGAGGGGCTTCAGGGGGTACGTGATCCAGCTGCAGCAATTGATTCATTTGCCTGGAGGCCCGGGTTTCTGACCAAAAGTGAGTGATGTCAGCTGGGAGAAGACACCAGAGGGGCTGAGCCCGAGGCCTCCCGGCCGTGGCGGCACCCTGATGCTCCCCTCCCGGAGGAGGCACAGGAGGGCGCACAGGAGGGCACTGGTGGTGTGGGTGCGGCTTCCGGCTTGTGGGAACCCACTCAGCGGTCTGGTGGGTTGGTGCTGCTGAAGTCGGTTTGCAGACGACGGAGGAGCTGGGCGAGGCGAGGGCACCCTGCTCGGCACTGCCTGCCGGGTGGATCCTCCAGGCCTGTCCCATGTGGTCATCATTGGCAGCCTGACGCTGCCTCTCCTGGGGAGGGCTTCACCCTGAGCCACGTCCCCTCTGAATCCTTCTGTGAAATGATGAGAGAAGGTCGTGGTTCTTCTTTTCTTATTGTGGTAAAAACATCACATCACATTTAAAATTCAGGGGTGTTTAAATACATCGCAGTGTTGGCACCCACTGCCACTGTCTGGTCCCAGACCTTTCTCGTCACACCCAGTGGAGACCCATCCCCGTCAGCTGTCACTCCCTAACACCCCTCGGGCCCAGCCCCCGGGGACCCCAATCCGCTTCCTTTCTCTGTGGATTGGCCTGTTCCGGACATTTCATAGGAATGGGACTCCACACTCTTGCTGTTTATGTCTGGCTTCTTTGTAGTGGTTCTCTCTCTTTTAATGTTGTACTTGGACAAACAGAAAGCTGGCAACCTCACAAGCTGGTCCCCAGGATTTTGCAGGGGCTAAGGGGGAGTATTTTAGCTCCACATGAAATCCCAAACCTAGGACCTCTGCAGGCCTTTGTCATCTCCCATTCCCTTTGAGCTGGAGCAGGGGGTGGGGGGCCTGGCCCCAGAGTGCCACCAGGTGCCCGTCAGTCACCTCCCCACGTTTGTCCACTTGCTCCTTTCATTGGCCCGTCAGATGCTCTTACAGCCTCCGGTCAGCCTCCTGTCCTCACACTGATCCCCTTTGATTAACGCGACAGCCACCAAGTGTGGCTGGCTTCTCCATGGCCGTCGGGAGGAATGACAACAGGACTCTAATGCTTCCGCCTGTCCAGTCACCATTAGCTGCATAAAGTCCTCCAGAAGGTGGCCGGTGGCCAGTGGTGGTAGCGGGAAGGCCTCTCCCTTGGCCGCCTGCTCCGGCCTGTGTGTGGACTTGGGCGTTTCCCCCTCAGTAAGAACTTGGAAACGTAACTGTGCACTTGTGCCCTCAAGGTTCCAGTTCCTCCTCGTCAACACACCAGGGGTGGCCCAGGACGGGGTGGTGCCCTCGCAGGCTGGCAGCGGGCGGCCATGTCCGGGTGGAGGTGTGGGCGAAGAATCCTTCTCGAGTCTCCCTGTCTCGGCAGGTGCACCCGAGTCCCACCGTCCCAGTCGCCCCCGGCTTTGTCTCGGCCTCTGCGGGCAGCTGACTCTGAGGAGCCTGTGGGGCACTGGCCTGTGTTTATAGCATCCCCGTCCTGGTGCCTTGTTGAAATCCCTTTCCAAGACAGGGCATTGAAAGCTGAACTCCCCGAAGCTGGGTCGCTGTTTCCCACGTGGGGCAGGCTGTTAGCATCCGGAAATGTACAGCTCGGGGATTCTGGATTGTAGTAAAAATGCCCCAAATGCTTCTTGCTTCAGAAACTTAAGACATTTGAAAAATTGGGGCCAAAGAATGGGCATTTCCCACCGTTTCTGCTGGAAGTGCTCTCCCAGGACCTATGATGTTGGGATAAAGCTGGTGCACGTCCTGATTTTCAGACCTTAGAATATTACGGTTTCAAACGTAATAGAAAAAACTGCTGATCAGATCTGTGGAAACGAACTTCCTACTTGCAACACAACTTGTAAAATGAAACACTTCTTGTCGCCCTCGTAAAGAAACCAATAAACAGAACCGTCCGCGCTGCATGCTGGCGTGTGGGCCGAGTTCCTCCTAGACACAAGGTGTGGTTTCCCCCTCAGCTCCCTGTGTGGCCGGGTCTCAGGTGTTCACTGAAGTGCTGGCCCGCTCGAGGAGGCTGCCAGGTTCTGAATGATCAAGCAGCTCTGTCTAGTATCGGCCTTTTTCTAGAAAGCTGGTGGAGCAAGTGTGCTTGGAGTGGCCTCACTCCTCCAACGTGCAGCCTCGGCAGGAGTTTTAAAGCAGAGAAGTCCCCCTCCTAACCCAGATCCAAAATAAATGCTTTGCTTTGTATTTTTAGCAGCCGACCTACATATGTAGCCTCTGATAAGTACGGGCCAGGAAAGTGTCTTTTGCCAAAAAAGAAATAGTTAATCAGGCGATCATTATTTTCTTATAAAAGGATCATGTGTTTTTTTTCCTTCCTGCGGGTTCGGGATGGATAATAACAGGAGGGGAAGGCATGAAAAAGAGTGGAAAGGTAGATAGAATTTGCAGGCTTTAAAAATAAATTGGCATTGGAAATAAGTGTTTTGACCTAAAATAACGGAAGGCATACTCTGCCTCAATATTGCAACATAAGTGCGGTTACCGTTCTTTGAGTGGCACTGAACGGCGTTTCCTGTGAACGAGGAATTGCTCCAACTGCCCTGAATTATTTTAAACACTTAGCAGCCCAAGTGCTTAGCTGTGATTCTATTGTTTGCAGAAATATGGGCGGCTCTATTCTTTTGAAGGGAACAAAAGCATTTTCATACGAAGTTAGCACAGACTCAACTTTCATTATTTACGTTAAACCCATGCTGTGTGTCGGAGCAGCTCCCATTCCAGAGCCCCGTCCACCTGCTGAGGATGGAGTGTTTAGCGGGTGCGTCCTGGGCCCGACTTATCGTAAAGATACCAGGCCCTCCTGGCACAGAAAGATGCTTCTGTTTTATTTGTTTTTCTCTCGCAGCAAAGCCTGATGGCTGGCCGCAGGGCTGACAGTGTGGGTGTTTTCCAAGAAACATCCCCGGGGTGACGCGCGGTGGCCTCGTGCCCTAACACTGACTACCTCTCCGTCCCGCCCACTCTAGAGTCCCTGGAGAAGTGGGAGCGCCTGACGGTGGCCGACGCCCTGGAGCCCGTCCAATTTGAAGATGGAGAGAAGATTGTGGTCCAGGGGGAGCCTGGGGACGATTTCTTCATCATCACAGAGGTGAGTCCTGCGTGTGCCGCGTGTTGCAGGCTCTGTGCAGGGGTCATTTGGCGGGGCAAGTACCGCTTTGGGAGTGGGGGTACCAAGGGCCGTCTGCTCTGAGTTCATCCCACCCTCCTGAGGATGAGCCTCCATCCCCACACCAGCTTCAGCACGGGCCGTGTGGGGTGATGGCCTCACACATTCGCACTGGTGTCCAATTGGAAAGGTCGCCTCTTAAGAAATGGTGTCAGGTCCCCAAGCCCACGTGTGTGACATCGTACAGAACTGAACACGTATACACACGTGCGAGCGAAGATGAGGAATCTGAACAAGATCGGGGACGTGCCCACTGTCAGAACTGGGGTTGACGTGATACTTAGAGATCTGCAGCACATTATCCCTGGAGGAAATGTGTAAATTGAGGGCACCCGGGGTCTCTCCGTGTTGTCTGTTACCACTGTGTGCAAATCTACAATGATCTCAGATTAAAAGTGTAATTTTCAAACATGGCACCAGGTCCCTCAGCCTGGACACGATGAGTCCCTCTCACCGTCCTCAGCCCCCACGAAGGGCCGGCGACAGCTGGCTCTGGGGCCGTAATCCGTGGCGGCCACACTCAGCCTGTCACTGATCGAGGCAAGCAGCTGCTGTGGCCTGCACATCCCGCCTGGGGCTGAGCCTCCGCCGTGGTCCCCGGAGAGAAAGCCCTCCTGGCAGGCGGCCAGGCCTGAGTGAGTGACCGGCCTCGACTGTGGGCAGCTGCCCAGTTACATGGAGCCAGAAGTATGTTCCTGTTTGGCTCGTTGCCTTCTTCTCTAGTCCTCACGGGCAGGAGGGCTCATGAGAGCACGTTCTCCAGCTGTGTGTTTTGCTGTCGGAGGAAGGAGGCCTTCAACGTGGCCACTTGTACCATCATCGTGGCTGACATGCCCATCCTGCCCCACAGCCGCCCTTGGGGGCACCACCCCATCTTGGGGGCAGGCGTGTCGCTGCCTGGGGACCACGGGAAAGAAGGCAGGTGCAGACACTCAGCTCTGTGGATGTTTGGCCAACGTAACCCAACTCGGGAGCCTCTTTCTTGTCTGAAACAACAGACGCAGAGTTTCCCAGGTTGTGATGTCGGCGAGGAGGTTCAGAACCCTGTTTGTAGGCGGTCACCCACGTCTGTGACGCAGTCCACGCAGCCTGAGCCACTCGGATGAAAATCAACAGATGTAGACCCCCCTCCACTCGCTACTCTCATCTGGGCTCCTGCAGGAGCCCTTCCTGGGAGATGCGTGTTTCGGCTCTCCTTTCGCCGCCTGCCTGCGCTTCCTTGCAGGAATGATCTGGAAGGCTGTGGAGGCGAGTAGGAGAACAGCGGGAGGGAGATCGATGGTCTGGGGGCGCATCTGAGGCACTGGGAGGACGGGGCACAGGCAGGGTCTTGATGGTGGCCGACCCTAGAGCTTCACAGTATGCATTTGGGAACCTGGTCACCTCCCTCCCCCTGTCCCAGCCCTGAGCCTGTGACAGAGGCGCCCGGAGAACGCTTGTTGAGTGAATGAATGAATGAGTGAATGCATGTGTGAATGAGTGATGGAGGCCGTCTCCAACCGCAGCTTCCAGAAGGCTGCGTCAACATTTCTGGAAGGATGGCCTTCGTGGCGACAGATTCTCGGGCAGCATCCTCGTCCTTCGGGTGGGAGCCTCATTGAACAATAACGTTTCTTGAAAAGGGAAGAAGGACTAAAAGCAGAGGCAGAGCAAACTCTGATTCTCATCAGTGGTAAATGAGGTCTCCGCTCAACAGACGAGAAAGGAGCCAACCCAGCATCGTTCAGCACCCGCCTCGCAGCCGTGACTTCAGAAACGTTCATTCTGAAGGCTCAGCCCTGAACTTCCCCAGAAGCTAATGGCCCCACGCGAGAGGCCCCGAAGCCTTTGGTCATTGCTGCTCTGAGACGCCCACGCGATGTGGCTCGTCCACTGCAGCTCTGAGCTCCACGGTCAGCGGCCGGCTGCTTGAGTGCTCCATCTTGGATGTCCATCCAGCCCAGTCGAGTCTTCAGATGAGCAGCTCCAGCCGTCACCCGCCTGCGACCGCAGAGAGACCCAGGGAGAGCTGCCCAGCTGGGCCCAGCCAACCCCCCAGGACCCTGTGACAGTGACAGAGTGTGGTTTCAAGTCACCAACTTCTGGGATTGCTTATCAGTTCTTGTCAGTTGTCACCACTGAAATAAATATGTGCTTGGAGCCCCCTCCTTGCCTCCCACCAGGATGTGGACGGCAGCTCTGATGACTGCCGTACCACCAATGTTAATAAGAAACTGGTGGTTACAGGCCCAGTTCGGCCCAGAGACGAGTTTGTATTGGCCTGCACAGTGTTTTTTTTTTTTTTTTTTTAAACATTTGAGTTAATTGTCGATATTTGAAAATCAGGATATTTCACATAAAAATCTGGATCTCTTAATTCTCTTTGAAAATCTGGCGTCTGGCCACTTCAGCCCTGCACCCTGTTGGCCACACCCAGCTGGACCTGCGAGGCAGCTGCCCCTTGGGTATGCAGGTGCCCCCAGTTTGCTTCAGTCCTCACCAGACCCTCTTGCCTCGCTGGTGGGCTCTGCAGGCACTCCCAGGCTTTTCCGTCTAAGGCCTCAGCTTTATGGTCTTGAAGCCGAGGGAATGAGTAGCTCTGGCCGGCCCAGACAACTGTCCATTATTCTCAGTGGACCAAGGCCTCCTCCCAGCTGGGTCCAAGGCCACGGGTAGAAAAACCGTAAAAATGTGCGTGAAAGGCACAGGCCAGAGAGGGGCCCTCCTGGAATGCACAGGGAAGGAGGGGGGCGTCCCATAGTCGGTTACGTAATTGATCACGGTATCAGGAGCTGGTGCTTTCTGAACTCAGGACGTGCCAGGTGTTGCGCCAAGCCGGGCGTACATGTAATCTGACCACACCCCACGGGGGAGGCTCCGTTAGTGGTCCTGTCTCGCCCGGGAGAGGGGGCAGAGGGCTGGTCCTTTGCCCAAGGACACACGCGGCCAGCAAATGATGGAGGCAAAAGTCAGCCAGAGTCTCGCTCCTGATCCCGGTGGCTCTGTCCTGTGTGCTTTGCTCCCGGTGCGTGTGCGTGCATGTGTGTGTGTACACGTGTGTGTGTGCATGTGCACGTGAGTCCAAGTGTCTCGCGCTTCTCATTCTAGAGTGATGTCGACAGTGTGAGCGCTGCCTCCTGTGCGTCACGTTCCTCCTCCTTCCTGTCCCCTGGCTCATGGTTGGGACTTGACTGTAGGTGTTTCCTGTGGCCCTGGGCGTGTTGCTACTGCTCGTCCGTTGAGGGTCATTTTTCATGACCTACTTTGAGGGTGAACCTGGCACCAAGGCTGCGTGGTTTTGTGTCACGAGCAGCTGATTCTCAGAGACCCCACAGGCTGCCCTGCAGAATCACCGAGAGATGGTGCTGGGGGTGGGCGTGACTCCCCACCTCCAGGAGCTCCTGAGGCCTCCTGCACAGAGAGAGTCCAAGAAAGTCTTTCCAGAGAGCGAGCCGGTGACGGTGACCACCGGCTTCTGTGGAGAGGTTTCGGCTTTGCGGCAGGAATGTCCTCCCGCCATTGACGGAGTGCATGTGGTATGTGGGGTGGGGGATGAGAGGGGGGCCGAGGCACAGGCACATAAACAGTGTATTGTACCGGCCTCTGGAATGTAACCCAACCCTCTCGGAAGGTATAGTTTTCACAACGTTGTAAAATGTATTTGAAGTGGTCTCCTTGGCAACTCAAATTTTTTCCCTGTTCCTCTGTGATCAACCAAATCTGGTCAGTCACAGTGGGACCCCAGGGTTGGAGGGAATCAGACGCTCTCAGGACTGAAATGCAACCCAAGAGGCGTTTGCAGCTTCAAGCTGTTGTTTCCTGCATGGCCAGAAGCGGTCCACGGGCCACATCTAAGACAGACGGGCGGTGTCGGGCCCAGCCACCAGCTCTGTTCTCTCCCGGCGCCAGGCGAGCCGTCTGAGGCCCCGGAGGCCGTCGTGCTGTTGACGGGGTTGGGAGACTGGGGTTGGGAGACGAGCGACTTGCGTGGCCGCCCATCTCTTGGGGCTGTCCCCTTGGTTTAGGAGGCTGCTGGGATGGCCCCTGGTTTTTGGGTTTTGCGTCTGAGTGGAGAAGCCTGACCTGTCAATTAACCCTGGAGTCAGCTGAAGGAGGAGTCAGCCAATACATGGAATTAAGCAGGAAACGTCAGTGTTGGTTGTGTATGTTTTCGAGACCAGCAATTCCACCCCCTGGGCTGTCCTGTTGTTAGATATTCTGAAGGTCTCGGTGACAGTTTGGGTGGTTGACATTTTAGTAAGAGGAGAGAAGTGACAGTGGCCTTTATTCTTCTAAAAGACTTTGCAAACAGCATTCTGACATGCTGACACTCTGGTTGGAGCTGTGTTCTTTTAATAGGCTAATTGTGCATTTCTACTATTTACCCAAAGTTCTCGTGACACTCATGGAGCCAACTGGACAGTACAGTGCCCCGCCATGGAGTCAGTGGGAGAGGCGCCGGGGCCCTGTGGTTACCTGCTGTGAGGGTTAATTTTATGGGTCCAAAGGCCATGGTACCAGATGTTTGGTCAAGACCAGTCTAGCTGTTTCTGTGAAGGTGTTTCTCAGACTCAACTGAGGTTGACATCAGCTGACTTTGAGTCGAACAGATGACCCTACATGGTGTGGGTGGGCCTCGTCCAGTCAGTTGAAGGCTTTACTTAAGAGAAAAAAGACTGAGGTCCCCCAGGAAGAGGGGACTCTGCCTGCACACGGCTGTTGGACTGGTCACAGCACCTGCTCTTCCCTGCTGGCCTGCCCTGCAGTTTGGACTTGTAGCCCCCACAATCACAGGAGTGAATTCCTTAACGTAAACCCATCTCTCTCCACATACGCATCGTTGGTTCTGTCTTTGGAGAACCCTGATAATACACCTGCCTTCCAACTCTTCCAGAGTAGTGAGGCCTCCGTGTAGGTGTGTGTGGGGGCCGGGGCCCGGGCAT